TCACCTATTGATCCTGCTAGTAACACGCTTCCTGTCCTAGGGTAACAACACTTACTTGCTGTACCTGGAGGAGAAGCGTTGTCACCTTCAGACAGGAAGCTCTATAAGAGCCCATTCACACAATGTCCATTGAGCTGTATTTTTTTATGCACACCACTGCACATGTGCGTTTACTGTGTGCCCTGTTCATACTATACATGTGCACTGGTGTGCATAAAAATGCAGCTCAATAGACATGGTGTGTACAAGGTCTAAGACTGCAGAACACCTCCCTGTCTCATTTTCTCCATAACCTACAGGGAAGGGGTTCTCTATTTAAAGGAGAACTATGAGGTGATCGATTTCCATTCATCCTCATAGTTAGAGCCGACCTCTGACAAAGAAGCTGTCACAGGTCGGCTCTATTGATCGGAAAGTGAGCAGAAACATGCAGCCGATCCCCTCACTTCCCGATCATCTCCCTGCAAAGGGTGGTGACTGTCGGTCACCGCTCACCGCAGGGATTCCCCCCTCCCCGATTCTCCAGCACTGAATGGAGAAATGAATGAATGGGAGAGGGGGCGGGCACAGCTGGCTCTGCCTCTAGATAGGCAGAGCCAGCTGTCAATTAGCCAGCTGGGTGGATCTTGACAGTATTGTGAGGATCCGTCCCAGCTTTGGCGCTCTCAGTATATCGCGGGCAATAGCTCGGTATATACTGGTAGAAACACCTACCCAGAACTCAGGCAGGGCTGGTATTGTGTTATAGAGTGCCCAGGGCAGCATTAGATTTCTGGCAGGTATACAAGGACACACATAATAAAAACTTGGAATGGAATATTTAAGAGACGAAAACGGAGCAAATGTGAAATGTCCAAATATTAGGTGTTCAGGAAAACTTGTATTATTAAATATTTTTAGGTGGCCACGAAAAGGTTTCACTTTGATGGTACTTTTTGCCTCCTCTAGCTGTGGATTTATTTTTCTCAGACGTCTGGCTGTCATTCCGAAAATCTAGCTTGAGTATTCGAGATCTGCAAAGTTTGGATGAAACCAGAAATCTTCACTTGCATACTTGTTCCGTCTCAGCGACTTACAGTATTAAAGAACAAATGTCATTTGAGCAGCAAGGAAACTATCATGTTCAGAAGTAGAGGTCAGTAATGGCACCCTCCATGTTCTTCTCAATGGCATAACTATACACATAGTAGCCCAGGCAGCTACTATGGGGCCTGGGGGTGACAGGGGCCCCATTAGGTTGTTTGAGCAAATAAAACATAGAACATGTGAAGATAACTGTGTCCAGGGCTGGATTTAATCTCTCTGCTGCCCCAATGCAGGGTTCCTCAATGCAGGCTGCATACAAGTGATCTCAGCGACATCGCCCGGATCACTTGTACAAAACAAGCGGCGGGCAGCTTCCCCGCTGTACATGTAGCCCTGCTTGCCCAAAGCAGGGCTAAATGTAGAAAACAACTACCTGCCCGGCACCCGGAACTGCATGTCACGGGCGTCGGGAGATAGGAATTCCACACCCCTGCTGCTCCAAGGCCAGGCCTAAGTTGGGCTTGTGGGAAATCCGGCCCTGACTGTGTCATTAAGGGTTGGAGTGGTTGCAGTTGGTGACAACCCTAATCCTCTGTAGAGACTACAGGGTAGGAAAGCTGTCAGATGCACAAGAGGAGTCTTTGGAACCTTGGTGTTGTTATTTACAGCTCAGAGAGAGCTCATCAGGGGTTGGCCCCCATCACATTTTTGCTGTGGGGCCCTGTGACCTGTAGTTACACCCTTGGTTGTTCTCATGACAGCGCTCCTTTAAAATGGACCTACACTTAAATCTAAAGCTGCGTTGGTGGTCTTGTTGGGATAGATAATACAAGGGTAATAGGGCTGGCTGAAAATACAGTAAACTCCCGGTTATCCGGTATCCCCGGGGATTGGAAGATTGCAGATGAGAGTAGTTTCTGGTTGCTTGAGAGTTACTATAAAAAATAGGTCTAACTAATGTCGTACCCCATACTATACCCCCATACCCCATACCATACCCCCATACCATACCCCCCTCCCCTACCCCCATGCACCATACTATACCCCATACTATACCCCATACACTATACTATACCCCCATACAACATACTATACCCCATACACTATACTATACCCCATACCATACCCGCATACACCATACTATACCCTCATACTATACACCATACTATACCCCCATACAACATACTATACCCCATACTATACCCCCATACACCATACTATACCCCATACACTATACTATACCCCCATACTATACCCCATACACCATACTATACCCCCATACAACATACTATACCCTATACTATACCCCCATACACCATACTATACCCCGTACTATACCCCCATACGCCATACTATACCCCCATACGCCATACTATACCCCCATACGCCATACTATACTCCCATAAGCCATACTATACCCACATACACCATATTATACCACATACACCATATTATACCCCATACACCATATTATACCCCATACTATACCCCCATACTATACCCCAATATGCCATACTATACCCCCATACTATAACCCCATACACCATACTATACCCCCATACACCATACTATACCCCATACGATACCATATCATATCATAACATAAACTCTGTATTGACTTCATATTAATATTGAAATGCAGTAATCAAAAGCAAATTAAGAAAAATAGACACATAATCATTTTCAGGATAAAGGTGCCCATACACCTTACAATTATCTGCAGATTTTTTGTGGTCAGATGGAAAAAGTGCAACAGATTGGCCCAGGTGGAGATTCCTCCATCCACACAGTTAGGTGTAGATGGAGGAATCTGTTGCACCTTTTCCATCTGACCACGGAAAATCTGCAGATAATTGTAAGGTGTATGGCCAGCTTGAAACATGCCGCAGAACAATCAGTACACAGGGATTTTTTTTCCTGGTTAGATGAGAGTACTGGTTAGTTGAATACTGGATAACTGAGAGCTTACTGTATAAACATTTCCAGCTGGGCACAGTGGATACTGCAAAAGCCTGCAGAGAGATAAGGCAACCAAATATCCATTCAGTGCAATGTACAAAGTCATCATACTTCCCTGCCCTGAAGCACGCCATAGACTGTTCAACCTGCGAGCTGAATGCAAAAAAAATAAAAAATAGAACAGATTCCTCCATCTACGCTAAACAGCATTGTTGGATTTATCCCCCACTGTTGTCAATGTATTCTGTACCGTATATGTAAACCCATCAAATCCTACATAGGCTTTACTTTGTTACAAAAATAATATTTTAAGCCTGCAGCTTTAAATGAAGTACCGGTAATACTTGTTGATTCTGCATGAAGGTCCTAATAAGGCACTTCCTGTTATGGGGTGGCAACACTTCCCTGCCTCCAAATTGTGCTCCTGTGCTGTCACCTTGTTACAGGAGTTTTAAGCTCTCAAAATATGTGAACAATCTGATTGGATGCAGGCATTGTTCAGGTATTTTAGATGCCAGTGGGGCCGATTAGGAAGATACTGAAGCTTGTCTCAGTGGGAGATTCCTCCATCCACACAGTTTAGCGTAGATGGAGGAATCTGCAGTGGCGTAACAACCGGGGGGGGCAGCAGGGGCGCGGACCCCGGGCGAAAAGTGAAGGGGGGGCACCGGGCGAAAATGGCACTTTCGGCTAAATTACTATAGGTGTATGGCCAGCTTTAGATGGAGACTACAGTTGGAGGCTGTTTCAACACACATTACGCAGGCATGGTCCACAGGTGTCACCATAAGCAAACCCACCTATATAAATGCTATAGAGCCACCACTGAAGTGTATATAGTGTAGCAGGTCATCATGTAGAGAGCCAGGACAAGTCCTGTCTGGGTTTTATGTGTCACCCAGATTCCTCTCTTAAGGTGCCCATACACCTGCCGATTATTGTACGATAATCGCGGGTGATCCCGTGATCGTACAATAATCGGCAGGTGTATGGGCAGCTGCGACCGCATCTACTGTACGGTCGCACGACTTTCATCTTCCTAGCACGCTGGAAAACCCGGGTTGGTAACGTGCTCAGAAGATGAAAACCACACGTGCCGGTGTGCGCAAGCGCACACTGCCCGCTCAGTGGGGAGGGCTTGCGATGATCGCAAGTACGATCTGGCTGTCCAAGATGGGAAGGTCGTACGAAATTTTAATGACCTTACAACCATCGCACAAGGAAAGTCGTGCGATGGTTGTAAGGTGTATTGCAGGCTTTACACCTTCTGGAACATCTAGTAAGCCACAGGTTTTACACTTTGCCTCAGTGGCAATTTAGTGCAGGTGAGGCAAACAGATGCTGCTCTGGAGCCTGGGGAGCAGACAGTCTCGATCTGCTGGAGCACAAGGTTGCTCATTGTGTTTTGCTGAAGCCTGACAAACAATAGGTTTGTACAGATTGGTAGCCAGGACTATGTTTAGTCAGTGCCGGAACACGGCTAGGATTTTGTTTTTACATAGTTACATAGTATTTGAGGTTGAATAAAGACATTAGTCCATCAAGTCCAACCTATTATTGGGAGCAATTGCACCCGCTACCTATCCCCCAGCTCACAATAGACAAGAAGTGGCTACAAGGAGGATGCAGATGATCAACAGCATGGAGACGCAACAAAAGAAGGAAAAACAAAACAATATTTTATCTAAAAAAGGGCAATTATTTATAATTATTTAGTTACTGAACTGTATGTTAGTTGCGTCAGAAAAAGTGGAATTACCGTTTAAGTGCCCTGGAAAGACTAATTCATATTTATGACAACAAAATATAATTTTTTATAAACAAAGAACAAAAGCTAAAAAGAAAAAAAAAAAACATTCAGACTCACCTGGAGCAAAAAGAAAGGAGAACCAATTGCATTTCTTTTTAATTTATAAGAATTTTAATTTAGAAGAATGTTAATATAATATAGAAATTACAATATCAGTTTCTCATCAGATTTTACCTACGTCATATTTTTGGATTATTATTATTGTTTAAAAATGAACCTCTTTACCACAGTTGATTTTTTCATGGTGGACAACCTCCCACATTTTAAGGAGATCCTGCGAGCTGAGCTTGTGGACCACCAACAAGCTCTTGTAGAAACAAGGGTCCTTATTCATCGCGCTAGATTTTTTCTTACTAATTCCAAATGTCCTAAACCCGGGATGTAACTTGGGCTCTACTCCTATGGACTTTAGGCACAGTCCCAAAAACACGTCGTCAATGGGAAACAACTGTATGCCCTCAGAGGCTACAAACAGTCTTCTAGCTAAGGGAGAAGCCATTAGGAATCCCCCACCACCAGCATATACTGGGTAGGGTTTGTCGTACAGTTCTTTGGGGATAAAGTATTTGCTCTGTTTGTTCCTAATGGGAACTGCTCGAGAAATGATATCCCCTACGAATAAGCTAGGCAACAAGGGGTCGTCCTTCTTGAAGGCTATGAAATCTAAAACGTTTTCAGTGTTCACAAAAATGTCATCATCGCCTTTGAAAATAAACTCCACGCTAGGGCAGTAGATGTGGAACCACTTTAGGAAGTTGACTTCTTTAAGGGTCAAGTTGAAGAAGGTATCCATGAAATCCCACTGAAGGATGTCTCCGTAAATGTGGTCCTCCTGCTCAATAAGTCTCTGGAGGTTCCAGTGGTCTTTCCCTGTAGATGTGGTCCCCAAGAGGAAAAGGGTCCTGATTTTCTTCCCGTCAACCTCCTTCTCTTTGCCCCAAGTCCTTCTCACAGCATCCCGTCGGTCGTGTTGCTCAATTATGGACTTGACCACTATGAGTAGGTGAATATCTCCTTGGCATTTTTCAGGGTGGTTGAGCAGCAGTGGGAAATATCTGCAATGCCTGTGGAAGATGAACTGATGGAACCTTGGGTCCACGTGCTTGAACCAGGGTTGCCTCCTTAAAGCTGTATTTTCAGGGCATCTGCTTTCGTTAATGTCCCACCTTGGTGGTGGTAGGTCCACGGCTTCAGGAATTCTAGGATTACCAGTCCTGTCGCTGTTACTCTTTGAGGAGCTATTGTCCGGCTGTAGCCACTCATGCATGATCCTGGTGTGAAATGCCAAGCTGCCTTTTGCCCCTTCCTCCACTAGTTTTAGTTTATGAATAGTCACCAGTGTGGCAAACACCAAAGACAAAGTTATACAAGTTTTCAGGACTCTCCTTCTTTTGAACAAATACTCCATTCCGGAGCTGGTGAGGGGGAAGACCTCCTTGGCTGTCAGGTCCCTTCTGTCCCCTTGTCCCCTACAGCTTCGGGATCTGTGGTAGAGGTCTGTGTAGCATGTCTGCAAAAACCACGTCTCTAGAAAATGCATGTAAAGGAGATGCACAATATCTACATTTAGAAGAATCTCATGCAGGACCACTTTTGTTACCTTTCTGAAGGTGTAAAGCACGTCTAAGAGGCTTGGACATCCTTGCTCCTCATTGCACGGTAATTCTTCCTCTTCTGTGTCCTCTCCTTGTGCATGACGACCTTTGCAAGGCAACTATCCAAATGTCCTTCAGTCGTGTCCTGTTGGATGGTGCATCAGGAGGGATCATGCTGTACACAAGAGCCTGTTCTCTGCCTCACATCTGATGGTTCCTCTACAGAGAACACCTATGTACCAAGATCCCTGCGCTCCAGGGCTAAGCTGTAGGACTTGCCAGATGCGAGCTGCTGCTGTGAGTTTTGGTTTGTGAAGCCAGATAGGTCTGTACAGCTCATGTTACCGGGAGCCACACTTGGTTGGCTTAAGAGCTTAACCCATTCACCGCATCTTGGGCTCAGCCTGGTACTCAGCAGCTTCTCTCAGTGTATAGTGTTCTTAGGGACTCGCAGAAGAAATAATTGAGGTTATGGTGATGAAGGGTAAGAGGTGTGTCCCTGTCCCAGTTTAGCTTCATTTCCTATCCAGCACTGTGTTAGTGGGTGTGTGCCTTGCCCAAACTTTCACATGTCTATTGAAGCATTAAATATAAAAAAATGTATAAAAAAAACTATTATGCACAATTTTTTTGTACCCAAAACAGCTACATAATAGAATCAGGCAGGGTTGTGGGTTTTGAAGATGCAAGGTTCGCTTATTCTTTAATGCAGATGTGGGTAACTTCGATCATCCAGCTGTTGTGGAACTACAAGTCTCATGAGGCATTGCAAGACCCCTGCTTTAAGGACTCATTCACATGGGCGCCGAAGCCTGTGTACTTTAAAAAAAAAAAAAGTCCTGTTCTCTGCGCCTGAAAGCCTCTGTTGTTGCCTTCTGCAATCCTCCTGTACAAATCAATGACATGTCGTGGCTGGTAAATGTGCTCCTGGTGTATACATGTGTATACAGATGTACACCCCTGGAAGCAGACAGTCTGTGTCCAGGAGCACGCATTCTGTACCTGTACCCTAGTATATGCTCGGAGTAGCATTCACCAGTGTACATCCGCAGCCTGTCATTGATTTGTACAGATGGGCTGTACGCGACCCTCGTGGCTCCTGGATGCAGAGATCTGGTTGTCTATTACACTGTGCCCATGTAAATAAGCCCCAAAACATACAAGAAAACCTCCCATTAGGAGAACATTTAAAAAAAATAAACGTTCCTTACACCCTGACATCACCCCTCCTCCTAGCCCCCGATACAGACGACATAGTAGATTCCACTGCTAGCTGCAGCTAAGGATTGCTGATAATGTGAGAATAACTGGGGTAGGGTCCTTTAGAAACACTGTCACTTTACCCTGAATGGGCAAAAATAAAGTGTAAGTGCCCTCTTCAGAAGATGTGATTGCTCATTGCTGGTTTCTGATTGGCTGTCTGTGTGGTCCAATCACAAACCGGTATTAAGCAATCATACCTCTTGGAAGCAAGACTTGCACTATCACAATTTTATTTTAAAGTGATAATAACCCTACATTTGTATCCCTTTCTGCTGCACTGCTGCAGGCGTCACCATTTACATTACATGCAGCTTGTCCCACTGTTAAAGCTTTTCTTCCATCTGCATTGGTGGGCCCCCACGATTGCTGCCCCCGCCTTCCTATTTGCAGGTGGCTGTGTTCTCTTGTGGGGTCCCATGGAGACACTCATTCGCATGCGCTTCTGACACACACTGGTACGGTAGCTAGTGCGGGCTGGACTGGTATGCACATGTGTGGTGGTAGTCCCGAGGAGTGGGTGCCCATGTGTGGTGGCGCATGGCATCATGAAATGTAGTCCCAAGGAGTGGGTGCTCATATGTGGTGGCGCATGGCATCATGGAATCTAGTCCAGAGGACAATCTCATGTTCAGTTTACTAATTTGTATTGAGACTGTAGTCCATCACGGGAGTGAGCTTGGAGCGGTGGCTACTTTACAACACACACAGGGACCATGGGGAACAAAAGTAGCCACCCTCCAGAAGGAAGGACAGTGTCAGCACCAATTCAGAAATGATTTGAGGATCTACAGCCGAGTGATATACAAATAAAGGTGCCCATACACCTTACGATCATCGCACGATTTTCGTCTACGATTGCGTTTTCGTACGATAATTGCACAGTTGATGGGTAGTGCACAACCACATCTACTGTACAACTTTTGTTCGACTTTTGTCTTTCCAGCAGGCTAGAAAACTTTTATCGAATCGTATGAAATTTGATGGATTAGTGGCGTTTTCGTACGAAAAAAATCACAAGAACACTACTCATGCGCAAACAAAAATCTGTTCTGTCAATCGACGAAATTCGGCAAGGTGATATTGCTAACGAACGCTATTTGAAACCCACAATGGTCTGTGCATGATGTGGCAGTTCGTACGAAAATAATTGTGCGATAATTGTAATGTGTATCGGCACCTTAAGAAACATTTTTGTTAATAGTTAAGGTACTTGAATGCAGTGGCGTCCCGAGGCGTGGTGTCACCCAGAGCGGCCACCGGGTGACACCCCGCCATGACGTTATCGCGCAGAAGATGCAAAAAGGAGGAAACGTTCACCCGGTGGGGTATGGTATGCCGCCGGTTTCCCTCCTCTCTCTCGAGCTGCAACTGTCATGCTCTCGGTTCATGACCCGAGTGCCCAACTTTTCAGAGGAGGTTACACCAAAATGACTGTCAGTCATTTTGGTGTCACCCCCTCCAATGGTGTCACTCAGGTGCACCTCCCTAGTGATGCCACTGCTTGAATGCATTTTTAAGATTTAAAAGAGAACTATGGGGTTAAGGCTTTTCCCCATAGTTCTCCTTAGGGTAATGGGAGGACACAAACTAGCGTCCTCCCGTCACCCTAGGCTCAGTATACCGCGAGCTGCAGCTCGCGGTATACAGAGACACCGCAGTATACCGCGAGCTGCTGCTCGCGGTATACTAGGATGCCGCAGCTGAAGCAGATCCCGACAATTATGCCGGGATCTGCCCAGCTGCGTGACTGACAGCTGGCTCTGCCTATCTAGAGTCAGAGCCAACTGTTCCAGCCCCCTCCCCCGTCCGTTCCACCAGTCAGCGCTGGCGGATCGGAGCGGGGAGGGGGGAATCCAGCCCCTCCCCTTTCACGGCAGAGAGCTGTGACAGGATCGAGAGGTGAGCGAATGCCGGCTATGTGTTCGCTCACCTCCCGATCTACTGAGCCGACCTGTGACAGTCTCATTGTCACAGGTCGGCTAGAACTATGAGGTGAGTGGAAAGCACTCACCTCATAGCTCTCCTTTAACTCCTGAGTTTAGTGTCACTTTAACTTGATTGGTACCTGTTTCTTTTTACTACAGTATACAATCTGGTTTATAAATAGTCAACTGCTCCACCTTCTGGCTAAATGTAACAATACAAAATATGAATTCACAATACTTTCCCAACTAGAGATAGAAGAAAAATATTTTTTGCTATTTTTATTTCTGATTATAAGAAAGAAACTATATAAGAATACTCTATACACTCTGTTCATCGCAGAAGGAAAGATTAGATGAGATCCACCAGTTACAACTGAGTCTGGATAAAATCGAGCGAGTAGATTATAAAGCAACTCCTAAGGACACAGTCCAATCTTTCCAGTGGGGTGCATTGTGGTAATAGTGCTTTTGGGTTTAAGCCAAATAGTGATCAGATACACACATAAAAAACCCCCAAAACACAAATGCAATGAAAATTAAATAAACTGAACTACTGTGACGCACCCCGCATCCTCCAGAATAAAAAGTGGATTTTGGGTAAGCAGTTCGATGATCAAAATTGGGAGTTTTCACTTCTACAAAATTTCGTCGACTGTGTAATCCAAGAGCACCCACAATAATTCGTCTGGAGATCTACTTTTCAAATGACGAGCTCAATGAAATCTACCAACGAAAAAACACATGCATTCAGCCACGCCCCCCCCCCCCCCCCCCCCCCCCC